TTTACCAAAGCGGTGATACTTTCGGACTCACAGTCAGCAACAAACTCTATTGGAAGCAGAGAGGCAGCCAAAACAGCTGAGATAAAGGAATGTATCAGAAGAGAATTCCAGACCTCAAGGTGCAACGAGCTTAAAGTTCGGACAAAGGAGAAACAGTGGACAGTGGCAATCTCCAACATACCCGACTGGCCAAGAATCGAAGCCGTTGCTGAGTTTAGACTACGTAACGGACACGATTGCTTGGCAAAACACCTTCACAGATTGGGAGTATACACTCAACCCACATGGCCCCTATGTAACCTACAGGAGGAAATGGAGAAGACCCACCTGATTCGATGTCCATCTCTAAAGACAACGACGGAAAGCCAGAGATACTGGGAAGCAAGAAAACGGCTAATGAACTGCTATTAATTAACTGCTATAAATGTACCCCCCACCCATGGGGAAAGCTGAAGTCAAAGTTTCAGGGCAAATGATAAATATCACAAAGCCTGCCATTTGAAATAAATATACTTCATGCAAGAAAAGAAATGTATCACCACTATAATTTAAAAAATAATTAGAATGAACGCATATATATAGATTCGTGAATAAGGCATAGTGAGTAAGACGACAAGGAAGTCTACGATATGACCCTGAAGGGACCAAGAGCATGGCGCCAAAGGTAGGCGACAAATTGAAAATCAAGAGCGGGATTTGTGTCAGAGCAAGAGAGTGAAAGAAAAGCTAACACTTTTAAGCAAGCAGTTGACGTCAAGTGAAAGCATCAAGTAACGAGCAAGTACAACTCCCAAACGCCACACACACACCCCAGTCCCCCTCAGGCCTCGTTACGTAATCGAAAAGGTAGGTATACAAGGTCATCCAACTAATGTAAAGATTTACAGAATCCCCCCCCCCCCAAAAAAAAACACCACTATAAAAAGCATAGAAGAAGAGGCAGAAAACTCACCCCGAAACCGAACATAGGAGGTCGGGAGGAAGCAGTGACAAATCGGATGAGTTTGCGTTTCTGCTCATCGTTGAGGGTGCGCACAAAGTCCCAGNAAAAATTTACAAAAACCCCCCCCCCCCAAAAAAAAACACCACTATAAAAAGCATAGAAGAAGAGGCAGAAAACTCACCCCGAAACCGAACATAGGAGGTCGGGAGGAAGCAGTGACAAATCGGATGAGTTTGCGTTTCTGCTCATCGTTGAGGGTGCGCACAAAGTCCCAGAACAGCTTCAGGCAATGCTCCCTCTCCTCGCCTCCAATATCTACAAAGGAAATAATAATAATAATAATAAGGTGCAACGAACTTAAAGCTCAAACAAAGGAGAAACAGTGGACAGTGGCAATCTCCGACATAGCCGACTGGCCAAGAATCGAAGCCGTTGCTGAGTATAGATTACGTACCGAACACGATTGCCTGGCAAAACACCTTCACAGATTGGGAGTATACACTCAACCCACATACCCCCTATTTAACCTACAGGAGGAAATGGAGAAGACCCACCTGATTCGGTATCCAGCCCTAAAGACAACGGCAGAAATCCAGAGATACTGGGAAGCAAGAAGACAACTAATGAGCTGCTATTAATTAACTGCTATATATGTACCCCCCCCCCCCCCCCCCCCCACCCATGGGGGACGCTGAAGTCAAAGTTTAAGGGCTAATAATAAATATCATAAAGCCTACTTTTTGAAAAAAATATCTACAAAGGAAAGTGGGTATCCTCGGTTTTACATAATAGGAACAGAAGCAGGTGATTACTGAATATTGGTATAAATACTAAGAATGAATTTAAAAAAGATCAATACATAGCACCTCCGCTCAGGTTAATGACCAGTAGTCAGCAAGTCGATTTTATTTATTTTTTTTGTTATATCCCCAGCACATTAGTAGTAAAAATCAAATTTTCAAGCAAAGTTCTTTGCAAATATACTGATCAGAGAGCGAAATATGAGCCTTTGAATGGAAGTGTTTGGGTCAAAAGGAAATCACTTGAACGAGCATTTCAATTGGAAAAAGGCAACAAATTCGTTTTCAAGATTGAGTTAAAAAAATTACAATAGCACAGTGGGAAAGAGTTGAAAATGATAACGGAAGTCGTACTATATATATATTGCCATATGCATAGTTTATTAATAAATGATCGTTATTAATCATGATTTTAAAAGTGAGGTTCCTCACTGATACCCCTAATGTTGATTTTCAAAAAAAAAGATCGATTTTGTCAAAAAAAGGACCAGAGAGATCTGACCAGCGAAACAGAGCGAGCATATCGGATCGGAAAAACTCCGACTGGACATAAAAGAGAGATAAAGAGGAATGCTGACCACATGTTGGAGAACTGCTGGAGAAAAAAGACTTACTTCCAGAATACTCTGTGTGCTCTTGCCAATCATCCACGTTAATTTCGTTGTTGGTGCCGGAGATAACAATTTGGAGTTCGTCAGCATCAAAAAGCTGCAACCACTTGATGCTGAGAACACCAGTCATACCCGAAATGAAGGCCATGGACTGTCGTTGAATCTAAATGCATAAAAAATATACACATAACCAAGAAGAAAATGGGGCTATCAAATCAAAAAAAGAGCTGAAAGAAGATAAAATACGAAAATCATGATCAAGAAACGTGTCTTGAAGGATCATATGAAAAGGACTGCACGAAAGATTGGTAAATTACAACAGTATATACTTGCGGATGTTGTGGTCAAACTCACTTCAAGCAGTGTTACCTATCACTAGGGCACAATATGGATTTTTGTCACTAGCTTTACTAAAATCCGACTTAATTCGCTAACTGGGCAAGCTCCAATGGACATATCTGATGATATCAAATGTCAGGCTTTATGAGTTATCATTTGCCCTTTAGTTGACTTGGTGTTTCACAGAGGCGAGGAACATCAAAATCATAAAACTTTGAAGGGGGGGAGGGAGTAGAACAGAAGAGTGATTCACAAATGTAAAAGAGACAGACACAAGGGTAGAGAAAAAGGAATGGTGAGCACTATGGAAGTGGTGGAATATGATATACAGTGAGGTCATGGTAGTTAGAAGTTAGAAGTGAGCTGCGGTTTATAGATTTTGTCGTTTGAGCATACGTCGCCCAAAGTGCACCACGTGAAGGTAAGTCAGTCGTGCACCCTCCAATAGATATATATTTTAACTGAGTACAGTTATTGAGGCCACACTGCCACAACACACAAAAAATTATAGGTGGGAAATTGTAGTGAAAGGTCACATTTATGCATTAGGAGGTTTCCGTTTTCAATAATACAGAGAGAAGGAATAGCAACAGTAATTAACGATGCTATATGCACAATCAGTAATCAAGTTGATTTATATCAAACACGTACATGGGTGGCAATACACAGTAAGTCCACAATGTTTACACATACCATTAGAGAAGATTTACGGTTCGATAATAAGGAGGGAGAGGGAGAGAGAGAGGAGATAAAATAGCTTTGCAAATTGCTGATAAAATAAGACAAACGGGATTTAATTTAGTACAATCTGAGATAAAATAGCGCAATACGTACACACTTCGGAATTCACCTAAATTAGTTATTTTAGATTATGTGAACAGAAAATGTGATGTTTAGGCATTGGAGACAAGTGTTACTAGTAAAAGTGACATTTGTATTAAGGACACAAATTCGCGTACTAGTCCAAATTAAACCAAAATCAATTTACTTGAGTATTGAGCTTGTAGTTAGCAACCAGATTAACGTATTCTATGCGTGATTCGTTCGTTACGGGGATGGACGATCCGTTGGGTTTCAAGTCGACCACGGTGTTTTTGCCATAAAGGCACTGAACAATGGTGAAATCCAGTTGTAGATCGCTAACATCGCCATCGTAGGACTTTAACCGACAAAGTTGTCTAAAAGAGGTAGAAAAAGCAGGACCTATGTCAGAATATTCATAAACCAATTTTAATACTTTGAAACAATAACATGTCACTTCAGCACTTTCCCCGAGTAAAGAAACTGCATTCTAGAGAATATCGTTTCGGTAAATTAAATTACACTACTCCCCCCCCCCCCCCTATTAACCAATTAGATTAGGCATTCGATTTCTTGTACACCTTGAGCACACCGACATCGGTGCACATAAGAATTATTAAGTATAACGCATAACTGATGATCCCTATTTGCTATCCAATTAGAAGTCGATCCTCTATTCACAAACTTCCATAGCAAAGATACGCGATAATTTGCAACGCAAATAACTACTTGCAATCGATATACCCCCACCTCCTTTACAAGCCTCCCAATAAATAGTCAAGAAAATTTGCAAGTATCACCACAAACGGCCATATCTCTTGTCAGAAGACCGCCTAGCTAATTACACACAAAGCATAAATCCTACCTAAAAATATGAATTATAGTATCTACAAAACGAAGAGTGCATAGTGGAAGAAACAACATAGAGATGTATCTTTGTAGGCTATAAAAAAAGGATCAAATAAACACCAAAAAGAAATATATTTTGAAAACTATCCCTGCACAACAAAAAGAAATCAAATATAGCATAACTATTCTAACTATCGGCCATTTGATGCTATAAAAATAAAAGAAATAAGCAAGAACTCAGTAATTCTTCGCCCTTATTAATCCATTAAAGGTCTTGAATAATGCCGTGCGTCAGCCAGGTCAGAGGTCATTTGATTATCACTCTTTGGCAGTCTGGGCGATCAACCACTCAGGTCAATGGGGTGGTATAATTCAATCTTCTTGTAGTGAGGAGTCTGTACTTAGACCAAGTGTCATATATGGAAACAGGGATCATACCATGCACACGATTAAAACAGATCTTAAAGTAAGATTATTGGTATCACTGTTTTATAATGTATTCAGACTCAACCTCACCTCCCCCTTGCTTGCATACATCATTCCTCACTTCCACCCACATTCGCGAACGCAGACTCCGAGGAGTTATCAATTAATTGGCAATACTGTGGTAGCTATTGGCAAGTTAGTTGGTGGGCTTAAAATATCGCACGCTTAATCAGCCCATTAACCTAATATCCACAATTTCGTTCCCAACGTAGGGGATATAGAAAAACACTCTACAGCTAAGAGTACCTACACTTTAATGCGCTTACCTAAAGAGTTCAGCGTCCAGGGACCTGAGGTGATTAAAATCAACACTAAGATTCCTATTGGCACTGATGATTTTAGCAAGAAAGAAGGGCGCAAATTGAAGATCCACCAGCATGCCCTCATAAATGGCCTTAGCAAGAATGGCTCCCAAGAAGATGTAGTGGGCTTCAAAATCCTCCATGAGGGCTTCGGCGTCAGGGTTGGGATAAAGAGCATGGTCGTCGTTGTAACGAAAGAGACCTTGCGATGGATCAAAACCCTGGGAGAGAACAGCGATAATCATCTCACGAGAGAGACCACCACCATCTATGCCCATCTCCATGACACCTGCCTCGTTATAAAAAGTGACACTGAAACGCTCCAGGAAAGTTTCCGCTAAAAGTGAAAAAGCAAATGCTTCAGAGAATTTGCCTTGTCATTAGGAAGCAAAGAAATTCATTCAACACACACACACACATACACACGCACAGGCGCGTGAAAAGTAGATGAAAGTAAAGATACCTAGACTATATTGCACTAAATAAATGAAACTAAAAAGACGAGATATCAGAGTACAAAGCTTAAGAAAAATGAAATTTGACATCAATTTGCCACAAAAGCTCGAATAAAGTCGAGTATTCCATAAACATCGTTATAGGCGCAGAATGAAACACCGTGTTTTTAATTCATTGACCATATTCCAACTACGCAGATTTAAATTACCAGGGATTGATCAAATAATCGACCAAATTTGCACGTTCTTTATTTGCCAATAAAATACATTGACATGAACGATGTCTTGACTGCATCAAAGGACGCAGACACGGTTCGAAGTAATTTAAATTGACGCAATACACCAAAAATGGTAAATGTAGTAGAGCTTTCGCAGTGGTAGATTATTCCCACTACAGCTGTTCTGAAGAATTTCACTTTATTTCAAGCAATTAAAATTAAGAGAAGCAAAAAATGATTAAAAGAGGAAAGCAAAAATTTAACATTCGCTAATAGAAAATCCCCCCCCCCTCACCCACCCCACTTAGCACCCGGCTCTTCTGTGCTGTCTTAAAACTGGGGAAATCCTCCTAGTGTATTTGAAGAAGTGAATTTATACACTGCAAGATGGCTTTCAGCACACAGCTGCCAATTAATTTCCACGTTGATTATTTATTTATATCAAATGATAGGCTTTTTAAAGTCATCGTTTGCCCTTTAATTGACTTTGGGCTTCATAGAGGGGAGGAGGAACTTCAAAGTCACAAAAAGTCGAGGGAGGAGGGGGGGGGGAGGCGAACAGGAGAGCGATTCACAGATGTGCAAGAGACAGTCAGGCACAAAGGCAGAGAAAAGGAAAGGCGAGTACTGTGAAGGTGGTCGAATATGACATACAGTCGGGTCATGGTGGTTTGAAGTCAGAAGTCAACTGCCTGTTTACTGTTTTCTTTTACCTCTTGAGTGTACGTTGCCCAGGGTGCACCACGTGGAGGTAAGTCCATCGCGATTATAAATTGCCATATTTGTGTTTGAACAGTCTGGCCCCATAAATTTGCTAACATGTAATGTACAACCCAATCAAAAAAATTCAAGTTATGTTTTTAAACTTCGTCACTGCTTTAACCACCTTTTTATCTCAAATTTATAATTAAGTGGACTCTGTGCTAAATGGTTTCACTTGCTGTTAGCATTAAAAAATTGCGAGCTTTCTAAGCTACAGTGGGAAATAATAAGAGAAAATCTATGATAGCTCTTACTAAATAGCCATATCATTTTAACACCAAATTAGCATCTGTCAATGTCATATGATTTGGATTGAGGGGTGTGCGATAGACTTACCTCCACGTGGTGCACCCTGGGCAACGTATATTCATACGGCAAAAAAGTCTATTGACTGGCAGTTGACTTTTCACTACAAACTACCATCGCCTCACTCGATGCCATATTCGAATATTTCACAGTACTCACCTCACCTTTGTTCTACCTTGGTGTTTGGTCTCTTATATCTTCGAAACATTCTTCTGTTCCCCCCCCCTGTCGACTTTTTCAATTTGATGTTTCCTCCCCTCTGTGAAGCCTGAAGTCAACTAAAGGGCTAATGATAACTATCAAAACGCCTGCCATTTGATATAAATAAATAATGATTTGGATTGAAAGATATAAGGAGA